GATCGGGAGGGTTCCGTTAAGTGGGCATGGAATTGCCCAAAAGTCGGACCACGTAAACCATCTGTGAAGGGGGGAGGGTGTGTATTATCGAATAAACTACCTGCCACAGAATTCCCCCTTCGTCCTTAGGATAAGATGTATGTCGAGTTTTGAGACACTGTCACGAGCACACAGAATGGCGCACACCGAATGCGCCAGTGTGGCAGGTAGGTAGTGCTTCTGGAACTGGACAGAAGAACTAGAGACAGGATTCAGCGGACAAGTGCGGGAAGCGAAAGACCAAACTGGAAGGATCAGATGCATGTTTAGAGAGTAAGACAAAAAGACAAATAACACGATCGATCATTCCGGCTCGAGAGACGGGGGGACCATGTTAGGTACTCTTTAGAGTCCTATTCGTGTCACTATTTAGCTAGGAGGAAAAGAGGCTGAATGCGATACCGAACAGCAGAGCGTAAACTGGCAAACGAGTCTCGGAAGGATGCAGAACATCACTTTGGAAAATATCGACCCAACAAGCCCTGTAGTCGTCGTATTTCGGAAGGCAATCCATAAGGATAAGGTACCGAACGTAAAGTATGACACGACTGAAACCAGGCCACGCCCTGACAGGTACGTGCCGGTAAAAACCATGACCCTGAACAACATTAGCAACGGGTCATGGGGTACTAGGAAGACACTGCAATGTACCGTGGTACGTCGTAGACAGAGAGTATCAACCCTAGGGATGGGTGCGAATGAACAAACCCAGAACGCGGTGGTAGTCCCTGATGAAACTGATATTCAATCCTTGGAGGGAATTTCGGTGAAGTCCGGCGGGCTATCACTCGCGTCACGTTCCTTGTATTTTTCAGGGGAGGGGGATATAGGAAAAGAGGGAAAATCGGAAACATTAGGGGGCGTGATCTACTCTTCTCGTCTGTTACTATTTTCACATCAAACACCCCACGGTAGCGAGATTAAATTCATTGGCGATGAATTCATTTATGGTTCATCGCGGCTCCTGGGGGATGCGATCGTGCGAACCCGGCCACGTCTCACCTTGAGACCGGCTAGCAAGGCCACCCCTTGGACACTACTGGAGCACCGGTGCTCTCTCTTTATCCTTGGGAACGAAGGGTGGTAGTTTGTTGTGGGAAAATAAGGGTAGCGGGTTTCTGAAATATTCGGGTCAGAGGCAGATACTGAAAGGGGGTTGAAGTAGGCGATGCAGCTCTCTCTCAATGATGACTACATACGATGAAACCTCCATTTGTACAGACTCGGTCTGTGAATGAAGCAAATAATGAGGTGGTACTCACTTACGGAGACGAAGGATCGGTTACCCCAACGTGCAAACTCCACTAGCTTATCAATTAGGTAGGATGGGATGATCCTAATGACTGTCCGCCCCCCCCCCCTCGCACGAGTACTTCCCCACCTCCATGTGGTCCGGGCCTTAAAAAGTCGGGGGAAAGAGCCACCTTTTTTTTCTTTATTTAACGTAGGGAAAATGCCTTATGCACACCTCGAAGTCCTGGGGTAGGACCCTGAGGTAGTGTGGGACTCGCACCCACTAAAACCCCTACGACAGCCTTCTCGGGCGGAACCGGTGGTGGCGGGATCTTTAACGAACACACCGCCACCATCGCACCTGTGCTCCTCGAGGATTCACCTCGAGGAGCCCGTTCCGTGGGGGTGATCGAACGCCCCCCAAGGGTGACCTATACCCAGGTCACCCCCCCTTCTCTACTCCGCCGGTGCCAGAGGACTGCACCCTGACACCGGCCCCACCCCGGGCCGCTTTGGATGCAGTTGGGTACCCCACCCCCACTGCATCAGCGGCCCCGGCAGGCGAACGTGTGTGCGGAGCGGGGAGCTACCAAGGCATAAGCTCCGGCTCCTCACGTCTCCGCACACACACGCCCGCCTAACCCCCGCAGGCCCAGCCTGCGAGGAGAGCGTGGCGGGACACCTACGGAGGGACCTGCCCCCCGTCGACGTCGGCAGAGCCGGCCGTGCGGGTCCCCCGACCACGTCCACGGCTCCGCCTCTCTCTCCTTCTTTCGCGGCTAGCGGAATCGCGCCTTTCGCGAAAGGCGCGATCCCGCTCGTCGTCCTCCTTCCGCGAGACAACAGTCTCGCAGAAGGACACCGCTTTCCGGGACCTCTCGCTCCCGACCATGGCTGTGACCACGGCCGGGAGCGAGAGGTCGTGTCCCACCTCCAACCGGAGTGCCCGCCTTTCCCTGGCAAAGGCCGGGCACTCCTCCAACGCGTGCTGCGCGGAGTCTACCTCCGCGCAGCACTGGTGACACTCGCTTGTCGCCTCGGCTCCTATCCTACACAGGTACTCACCGAAACAACCGTGTCCGGTGAGCACCTGTGTGAGCCGGTAGGAAGGCTTGCCGTGCCGGCGGTCCAGCCACCCGTCCAAAACGGGCAGGACCGCGCCGACGGCTCGCTGCCGGGCGGCGCCGCTGTCAACCAGCTGGCGCCGCCACTGCTCGCGAGCGAACCGTCGAGCCTGGCGCTTCATTCGTTCGACCTCGTCGTCCGGCGGGTCCGTCCCATTCCAGCGGAGGCTCTGGAGACGCCGATATACATCGGCGTCAGCCTCCGCCTGGAAATCGAAGGGAACAGACCCCGCCAGGACGACCGCCGCCTCATGCGAGATGGTGCGGTAGCCCCTCACGACCCGGATGGCCATACGGCGCTGCACGCGCCGCAATAGCAGCCGGCAGCGCCGGCCGGCCACCAGGTCGTGGGCCCATACGGGATGACCGTATAGGGCCATGGCCCACACCACCCCCATGTATAGGCCGCGTACCTTCTCATCTGGTCCCCCGAGATTGGGCATAAGACGACCCAGGAGGGTCGCCACGCCCTGAATCCGGGGGACCAGGCGGTCGAAGTGAACTTCGAAGCGCCAGCGGCTGTCCAGATCGAGGCCCAGATATTTCATCCGGTCCCCCATCTGGACGCAGGCGTCTCCTACTCGGACCCAGGCACTAGGGGCTCGCCGCGACACAGGCAGGTCATGGATGCATAGCAGACGACACTCACACCGGGCGAGAGGGGCCCGCACAGAACCGAGTCGTACCCCAGGTTCCATTACTGGGGTCCCAGTACGGACCCCTGGGGCACGCCTCGGCTGACCCTCCGTCTCTGGATCGAGCCCCCTTGGCCGGGGTACTCGATCCGCCTATCGGCCAGGTAGTCCGACAGCACGATCCGGAGATACTGAGGCACTCCGTGTTCACAGAGTGCCTTCCGGATCGTGTTCCAGCGGATGGTGTTAAACGCATTGGCGATATCCAAAGATATCGCCAGCGCAACACCACAGCTGCAAACTGCCCGGCCCGCGAGGGAACGGACGTGGTCGAGCGCATCGAGCGTCGACCTTCCCTCGCGGAAACCGCACTGGCAGTCTACCAGACCACCTCCAGCCGTGCTCCTCGAGAGGCGGGAAGCGAGCACTCGCTCAAAAAGCTTCCCCGCCTCGTCGAGGAGACATATCGGCCTGTAGGCAGACGGAGAGTCTGCGGGCTTTCCCTGCTTCGGGATGAGGACCATCCGGCCCCGCTTCCAGGGCAGCGGGACCCGCCCCGATTGCATACAGCTGTTGAACAGCTGTATGAGTCGGGGCCCGAGGACGCGTGAGGCTAAACTCAGCGCCCGGCCTGGGATGCCGTCCGGCCCCGGAGCCTTATTGGCCCCGATGCGCGCGACGGCATCCACGAGCTCCTCTCGCGTGACCCCCAGCTCGGCGGACCAGGTGTTCGGGTCCGCCGGCAGCCCAAGCGGTCGCGAGCCCTCCTCCGGATCAACCGGAAAGAGGGTCTCGACGACACGCTCTAGGGCTTGGGGGTCAAGACACTCCGTGACCGGGGGCCCAGCCGGTCGCATACGTCCAAGGACGACTCGGAACGGCCGGCCCCACGGGTCACGGTCCAGTGTGTCCAGGAGCTCGCTCCAGGCACGGGATTTGGCCTCCCTGACGGCTCTCTGGAGTTCTACCGTTGCTCGTCGGTAGACTCCATAGATATCGCGTTCCCTCTCCAGGTCGCGATTCCGTCTCCGGCGGGCCCTGGTGAAGCGACGCCGCGCGGCGTGACAAACGTCACGCAACGCAGCAATGGCGTCGTTCCACCAATATGAGGCCCGCCGGGGGGGCTTCCTGGCCCGGGGCATTGCTGCATCACACGCAGTGGACAATGCTTCCCGGAGCCATTCGGCCTCCCTGTCGACGTTCGCGACCTGTCCGGCCGGAACTTCCGGCCAGGACACGGCGAGAGACGCAGCCGTCAGCGCGTCCTCGTCTAGGCGCTTGAGCGCCCAGCGCTGCGATCGGAGCGTATCCGGACAGCGAGTGGGGTGATCCCGCGGCGTGGCGGAGACATCAAACATGATGTAGAGGTGGTCACTTAATGTGACCACCTCCTCCGCCACCCTCCATCACGACACGATACGTGCAGCGGCGGGCGTTGCCCACGAGAGGTCCACTATGGACTCTCCCTGCCACCGCACGCACGTGCTCGCAGACCCCCGGTTGAGCAGCCGAAGGTCCGCGCTCGCTGCCCACTCCTCCACGGCATCACCCCTCGCGTTGGTCCTGGGACTACCCCAAAGGGTCGACTTCGCGTTGAAGTTTCCCAGGACCAATGTTGGACGATTCGGATCACAGGATATAAAATCCCGGATCCCGTCCAACAGCGTCTCAAACGCCGCGAGGGGCATGCTCGGGGGAGCGTACACCCCGACCACCGCCTGGCGCCCATAGAGCGCCGCGACGAAGCCGTACCCGCGTGGCACAGCGCGCAGGGGCACGGCGTCGTTGCTTACCACCGCCACGGAACCGACCGCGTCCCCCGCCCAATCTGGGCGGTCAGGGACGCGGTACGGCTCCGCGGCGACGGCCAGGCCAACCCCCCACTCGGCCAGGTTATGGACAAACATGTCCTGTGCCCGTGCCGAGTGGTTGAGGATGGCCTGCAGGACTCGGACCGGGGGAGGGAAGGTTACTCCGCAACCATTGCCTTCCCCAGGCCGGATTCTTCCATCTCCACCTCCGGCGCCGCCAGCGGCATTTCAGATGCAGCAGTGCCCCGCTCCCTTCTGCCCCGCCGGGACGGCGCGGGCGCGCAGCTCTTGCTGCCCAAACGGTGCCCGGCTGCCCGACCTAGGTCGGTACAGACCGGGCACTTCGGGGCTGCGTCGCACTCCCGGACCTGGTGCTCCCGGCTCCCACAGCCGAAGCAACGCCCGGCCCTGTCCGCATCTCGCGAACATTTGGCCCGGACGTGCCCTGGCTCCAGGCACCGCAAGCACCGCAGGGGGCGCGCCTCGAGGGGCTCGACCCTGGCAGACGACCAGCCGATCGTAACTCGACCGGCGGTCGTCAGCCGCCTCGAGGCAGCGAGGGGGCACCTTAGCCATACCGTGCCGAGGCCGGACGCGTTCCGGCGGATTTCGCCGGGACGGACCTCGGCCACGGTACAGCCGCTGACGCGGGCTACCGCGGCCGCCACGGCCTCCGCGGTCACCGACTCGTCCAGGCCGGCTAACCACATTTCTGCGGTCTTCGCCGGCCTTGTGACGCGGACGTCGGTGCCGCGGAAAAGCTCGGCGAGGCGTACGGCGAGAGCATCCGCCTTGGCGGAGCTCTCCGGCCCGGGGACCTCCAATATGGAGGACCCCGTCTGGCCCTTACGGTAGCGAAGGTCGGTGATACCGACCTCCGCTAGGGGCACCCCGGCAACAGCCCGCCGCATCACTTCTGCGTACGGGGTCTTGCTGCCGGGGGCCACCGTAAGGGCAACGGCTGCCCGCGTCGGCACGCGTGGGGGGCGACGGCCCCCATCGCGTTTGCTAGAGGAAGGCGCCGCCTGCTGCGTTTTCGCGCCCGCCACCTTCGGCGGCGCTGGCGCAGCAGCGGCGGCGGCCTTCCTCTTGCGCTCCTTGCGGCCCACCACCTGGGACTATGACGCATGGTCCTCATCTGGTGGTGGGTCGCCTTCCGCCGGCTTCTGTCGAGGCGGCGGGGCCTGCCTCGCAGGCGGAGGCTGTCCCTCCGCAGCCGGCGCCGGAGGCTTCTTCCGCCTCTTCCTCCCTCCCCGCTTCCTCTTACGCCGCTTGCCGACAACCGCACCGCCCGCGTCCGCGGCACGAGCGCCGCTATCGGCGACGCTCGGCCGCGACCGCGAACGGGTGGGCGGGGCGGCTGAGGAAGGGCCGGGAGCAGCGCGTCGGGACCCTTCCCGGACAGCGCCGACCCCCAGGCCGTCGAGGCACGCCATGAAGCGCGCCTCGAAGGCCGCGAAGAGACGCTCCACGTGCCTCTCCACGACCCTCTCTATCTCCGCGCGGGCGGGCTGGCGCTCCGCGGCCGGCAACTCGCCGGGCACGCGGGAAAACGCCTCGCCCTCCACTCGCGGAGGAGAGAGCGGCGCCGGGGGCGGCGCTGGCTCCACCTGCGCAACGCCGGCGGCGGCGCGTGCAGAGGCTCGCCGAGAGCGGCGCGAGCCAGGTGGCGAGGGCGGCGGCATAGCGACCGCGTCTAGGGCTGGAGCCCCATTCGCGCCTGCTGCCAACCCGTCGTCGTGTGCCCGCGACAACGCCTCCGTGGCCTCGAGCCGAGCGCGCAGCTGCCTGAGCTCGCGCTCGAGCTCAACCTCCTTCTCGGAGACGACCGTCCTCTTCGCCTGTTCGGCGGCAGTGTGCCTGATGAACAACGCTGCCTCCCGAAGTGAGTGGACGTAGGTCCCCTTAAGGTGTTTGGAGGTCCCTGCCACTTTCTCAACCACCGCTACCTTCTCGGCGATCACCGCCCCGAGATCGGGCGTGGGGGCATGCCGCATTTCTGCGGCCACCCCCGCCTTGTCTCGGAGCGGCTTGCACGATCGGGACACGCGTGGTGGCGGAACCGTGGGGTCCAGCACCGCCGCCTCGTCGTAGAGCTCTAACTCCTGGCGCTTGAGCTCCAGGAGCCGCTTTTTGGCTTCGGTGAGGCCGACATATTCCCCCGTAGTGGGGGGCCGACCTCGCTTCCGCCCCGTCGTCGCCGCGGTCGTGGCGCCCGGGCCGACGGCGTCGGAATAAACCGACGCCGCCGACACCGTGGACGTCGACGCTTCCGAGTCGTCCGATTCGTCGTCGTCGCTAATGGTCATAGCGACCTCGACGCTCGCCGCGCTCGGTCGGGTGCCCGCGAGGCGCTGCAGGCGAATACACGGCTGCAGCACCCGCGAGCCACCGGACCTAGACGATCCCGAGGCAGCGGCTCGGACTCCTCGTCCCCTCCTCCCGATCACAGATGCAGGAACAGACATAGTGCCTGCCCCTGACACCTCTTCGCCAGTTGCCATACCGACAGCCGTGGCCTGGTGGTCCACCACGGCGTCTACCCGATTGTCGGATAACGACGCGGGGGAGCTCGGGCGAGAACTTCCCTCCGCGCCGGTACTGGGGGATCCGACGCCCCCCTGCACCGTAAACGTTCGATCCTGTTGTGTCCATATTCATGTTCATTATTGGCCCTTGCGGGCGGGCCCAACCCACTCCCAACTTGCCCAGTCGTCATATGTATTCCCATCGTGTGCCAGCTCACCGCGTTCGCCCTCCGCACCCAGCAAATTGGTTTTCGCAGAAGCGATATCCAACTACTGGGGCGGAGACCCAGGGACCCCACGTGGAGGTGCGGTGAATGGACTTTGAGCCGGTCGGGCCCCCAACTTCGCCGAAATTCCCCGCACCGGACGAGCAAGCTCGCCCGGGTGTTGGTGGAACATCATCTCCATCGGAGTTCTCGCCCAGGCCACGTGCCCGGACGAGACCCTTCCAGCCCTTGTGTCCCCTGATAAGGACCCCTAGCATTGTAACCCCTTACAAGGAGAATAAACCAGCTTGTTACCCGATAACTGACTAAGCTCATGCGTTCGACCCCTGGCAGCCGACTGTGCTGGCCTCCTTCCTCCGTCCATCGGCGACAGACGTCGCAAGCAGTTGAATAAAAAGGAGCTATGGACGAGGATATCGAATCATTGAAGAAGAACAATACATGGTATGTCGTGATCTGTCCGGATGGGGTGAAACCGATAGAAAATCGCTGGGTATGTAAACTTAGAAAAAGACTTGATGGCAGCATCGACAGGTTTTAAATGCAAAGACAGGGAGTTGATTAGCACGAGACATTTAGCTCGGTAGTAAAATTTGAATCAATCCGGATAATCTTGGGCCTTTGCAGCATCAAGAGGTATGATCCTACAACAATTTGATATTAAAACTATTTTCCTAAATGGAGGGTTTCAGAAAAAGATCTTCATGAAGCAACCAAAAGGTTTCGATAAAAAGACTGACTACGTCTGTAAGCTAAATGGAAGTCTCTATGGATTAAAACAATCTTCAAGATGTTGGCATGAGCGCTCCACTAAATTCCTGAGGAAATTCAACTTGGAGCCTACAAAGTCGGATTCATGCGTTTTTATAAACAGCTATATATAGATGATGGTCTGATAGCAGTTGAAAACCATAAAATAGAAGAGTTACTGAATCATTTAAGAGCAGAATTTGAAGTAACCACTGGCGTTCTGAATTTGTTTTTAGGTTCCCAGATTTAGCGACGTGATGATGGCGCAGTTTTTCTACATCAAATTAGATATACGCAAAGAGTTCTGGACCGTTTCAATATGACCAATGCAAACCCCGTGGCCTTTCCCATGGACAAACACCAAGAATTGTACACACTGGCAAACAACCACGAGAAGTAGTACATGCACCCTACAGAGAAGCCGTCGGATCCCTACTGTATCTAGCCGTAGGTACTAGGCCGCATGAATTTAGATCTGCTGGCTTTTAGCGACGCCGACTACGCGTGCGACTTGGAAACTCGTAGGTCGACTTCAGGCAGCGTTTTTAAGTTAGATGAGATTACCATTTCGTGGTGTTCTCAGAAACAAAAGGTACTTTCATTGTCTACCACGGAATCTGAATTCATAGCAGCGGTTCATGCTATAAAGAAATTGATTTGGTTAAAGCGATTACTCTATGAAATTACTAGACTAGACTCTGTAGAACCTAAACATTTTCTTGATTATCAAAGTGCTATTAAGTTTCTTAAAAACCAAGAGTTCCATAAGAGAACAAAACATATAGATGTAAAGCATCATTTTGCGGGAGAAAAGGTACAAGAAGGGTTATTTAGATTAAAATACGTTCCGACGAATGACTAGCAAGCAGATATCTTTACGAAACCTCTATTCATAGAACAATTTTGTCGCATATGCAATTTGCTGAACCTTAGGCCAAGGATGTGATAATAAGGCAGTTTCTTTTCTTTTTTTATGTATGATATGATAGATTAATTGTTGCGTTACAAATTTTAACCAGTGCGAAACGGCTGTGATAATTGCAAAGATATATATATATATATATATATATATATATATATATATATATATATTTGTGTAACCCCATTTTGACAGGGAGGGAAGTTAGTACATGATAAGTGAAAGTGTTGAATGTACGTTAGATATTTCATGTGCTCACTGCGCTTCTACAAATATTCGCGCAACTTGTATGCGGAAGGGGAAGCAGAGGTCCTTCTATTCAATATAGTATTACGAGACCTCATCTTCCTCTCGAAAGTGTGTCTGCGTTTTAACATGCGTTTTTCTGTACGTGGAGAATAAAATCGTTTTTGTTTGATGTGTATCTTACACGGAAATAAGTTTATTTCAGCCTATAATTAACAGTTAAAAATTGAAGGTATAGTGACTTTACAAAAAAAACAAATTATCGCGACTCCTAATTAACTTAGAGTAAAATATTGTGGGGAATATGGATGGATGCGTGCGTGCGTGCGTGCGTGTGTGTGTGTGTATCGGGAGCATTGCGGGCCTATTTGGTCGGCGTCGAAAAACAAAGAGGTGACGGGGGCCAACCGTCACGACGCTGGCGTCCGATCGGGCATTCCAGTATCGCCAGCCTACAACCTCAGAAGTGGGATTCGGTTCCTGTGGTGAATTTGTACGCATCGTTCGTACAATCGTTCGTACAATCGTTCGTACACTTGTACACACTTTTAAAATAGCGTCATATCGTAATACGTCGTAGTTGATTGTTCCGCGCGGTGAGTCGGATCGGTCTGTGTATCGTTTGTGTTCGAAGAGTGAGTGAACAGTTCTCGAACATGTCATAATCGAAGGATTCAACGACAGTGTTATCCGTAAAAGAACTTCAGCAGCGTACAGTAATACAACTGAAGGAAATATTGAAGCACATGCAAATGCCGACCACCGGCATGAAAGCTGAGTTGATAAATCGGCTAAATTCAGTACAGCCGGAATTATGGTCCGCAGTACCGATGAGTCTTGTTCAAATTTCGCCAGGGAGTAAAGACAGCGAGATTTATGGTCCTACCATTGTGGATCGAGTAGAAGGTGCGACGGCGTCACCAATTCATATTGGTACGTGTGATAATATCGAGAAGCGTGCCGAAGATTTGTTCCGACGAGAATACGAATTGTTGAGACAAGAACGTGATTTATTGCAAAGAGAATTGCGAATAGTGCAAAGGGAAAGAAGTGCGGCGTCCGAGTCATCGAGTGTCGGTCAAAGTCATTCTTCTTCAATCGGCAAAGGATCAGTGGAGGAAGCAGTGGATTTCAGAAATGGAAAATGCAGGCAGAGCTTCTGCGTGAGACGTATCATTTGGACGAGAACACCATGAAGGTATTGCTAACATTGCGATTGAAAGGCAAAGCGTTGTCATGGTTTAATTCGCGGGCGGAACATGTTCGGTTGCGGCTCCCGGATTTATACAGGGCAATTGAGGAGATGTTCGACGAGAAAGTTTCGCAATCGGCACTGAGGAAGGAGTTCGAGAAGAGAACGTGGCAACCCAATGAGGCGTTCAGCGACTACTTCCACGACAAAATAATATTGGCAAACCGAATAACTATCGGAGACGAAGAATTCGTCGATTTTGCGATTGACGGCGTGCCGGATGACCGTATGCGCGATCAAGCGCGTATGCAACGATTCGCAACGAAAGGAGACATGCTTGAGGCCTTCAAGAAATTATCGCTTCATCCCAATGTCAAACAAGATAGAAGAGAGAAAAAATTATCGTACATGCGGCCAGAGAGGAAGGAAAATCCGACTTCGAGACCAGTGGATCCATCGCGGCGCGCTGCGAAGGATGCGGCTCAACCGCCTCGGTGTTATAATTGCAGTGAACGAGGTCATCTGTCCAAGGATTGTTCGCAGCCGAGGCGACCGAGGGGTGCATGCTTCAAGTGCGGAAGCGCTACCCATCGCATAGAGGATTGTCCCGAAAACCGCCCTTCATCGAAGAATTACGCAGACAGAACTACTCATCTAGTACAGCTGGTACCGAATCCGCCGTATACGGTAACATTGAAGTATCCGATCGCGAATGATCAAGGTAACAAATACAATTATTTAGTTCGCGCAATAATAGATTCAGGTTCGCCGATTAGTTTGATCAAAAAAAATTGTGTACCTAATTGTTTGAGAGAACCTGTCGCGATTAATGACCACATGTATCAAGGTATAAACGGATCAAAACTAGATATACTAAACGTATTTGCATGCAATTGTACTGTTAACGAAATACCGGTAAATATTGTTTTCGGAATTGTCTCGAATACCGCGATGCAATGCGATGCGCTTCTCGGAAGAGATTTCATATTGTTGCCGCATATTAAAGTGTCTTTTGATGACGAGTTTACGGTTACAATTAAAAATATCAAATTGGAAAAATTCCCATCGTTCGATTTGCAAAACGAAATTATGCAAATTAATTGTATCGACACAGAGACTGGCGTGACGAAAGCGTTGAACATCAACCCGGATATAAAACCGAAAATGGCTAAAGAAGTTATTGAATTGTATAAAAAAATATACGCGTCCGCCGATAATGTGAAACCTGCTAACGATTGCAATGTGGAAATGACGATCGCGTTAAAACACAAACAACCTATTTCTTTCCGTCCGCGTAGACTTGCCTTTAGCGACAAAGAAAAGTTAAAAGCTATTATCGATCAACTGTTGGAAGAAAAAATAATTCGTCCGAGTAACTTTCCTTACGCCAGTCCTATCGTATTGGTGCGCAAGAAAGATGGAAGTTTACGCTTATATGTCGACTATCGCAAACTCAACAAATTAACAGTAAAAGATAATTTTCCAACACCAGGAATAGACGACAACATCGACGAATTACGAAATAAAAAGTATTTTACTAAACTCGATCTGCGCAACGCCTTCCACCACGTTAGGGTCGCGGAATCTTCTACAAAATATACGTCATTCGTGACACCATTCGGACAATATGAATATGTTCGAATGCCATTCGGTCTCACGAACGCGCCACGTACATTACAGCGGTACATTTATGCTATTTTTATGTGGTTACTTAAAGATAACAAAATTCTTTTGTATCTTGACGATATATTGATCGCTACTGAAACTATTGAAGAGCACTTGAAGATACTTCGCGATGTATTCGAATTGGCACGACTCTATGGACTAGAGTTTCGACTCGATAAATGTTCACTTTGGTACGAAGAAATTACCTACTTGGGTTATCGAATAAGCAAAGATTGTGTTCAGCCTAGTGACGATAACGTGGAAGCAGTAATAAAATATCCGTTACCGCGAAATACAAAAGAAGTGCATAGCTTTGTGGGACTCGCTAGTTACTTCAGACGATTCATTGCGAATTTTTCGAATATAGCCAAACCATTGTACGACCTATTAAAGAAGAACGTCCCGTTGAAATTTGGTTCCGAGGAATTGGAAGCATTCGAGAGATTGAAAAATCTTTTATCGTACCAACCCGTGTTAGCTATATATTCGCCGGCGCTAAAGACAGAGCTGCACTGTGACGCCAGCGCGAGCGGCTTCGGCGCGATGCTTCTACAAAAACAGTTAGATGGGAAATGTCGCCCGGTATCGTATTTTATTGTAGTAAAAGAACTTCCGTCGCTGAAGCGAAGTATCATAGTTTCGAACTCGAGTGTCTAGCCATAATCTACGCCATAAAACGCTTTCACATATATTTATTTGGAACTCATTTCAAAATCTTAACAGATTGTGATAGCCTTCGCTTAACGTTGAGTAAGCAAAGTATCAACCCTAGAATCTCTCGATGGGCTATGTATTTGCAACAATACGATTACGAAATTGAACATCGCTCCGGTACAAAATTGTGTCACGTAGACGCACTCAGTCGTTGCCATAGCATTTTAGTTTTGAAAGCGAATACTTTCGAACAAACATTAGCGATCAAACAGAATCAAGATCCGGAGATTCGGGAAATACGAGAGAGATTAGAAACCGCGGAAGACAGATTTTACGAACTTCGTGATGGTCTTGTATATCGAAAATTTAAAAATCGTGAATTATCGTTTTACGTTCCGTTATGCATGGAGACTAATATAATCCGGACATGCCATGACGACATTGGTCACGTGGGCGTAGAAAATGTTGTCGAAAATATTAGCAGAGTGTATTGGTTCCCACGGATGAGAGACAAAGTAAAGAGGTATATTTCGGACTGCCTAAAATGCGTTGAATTCTCTCCAACTAGCGGCAGGCGAGAAGGATTTTTACATTGCATTCCAAAGGGCAATATTCCGTTCCAGACTATTCATGTCGATCATTATGGCCCTCTCGAACTAACAGGACGAGGACACAAACATATATTTTCTATCGTTGATGATTTTACAAAGTTTATACGATTGTATCCGTGCAAGTCAACCACTACCGAGGAAGTGTTAAAACATTTAATAAATTATTTTAGAGCGTACGGTAAACCAAGAAGATTAATAAGCGATCGCGGTACTTGTTTCACATCATCTCAGTTCACCGAATTTATGAAAGAAAAATCTGTTGAACACGTATTAGTTGCTGTCGGTACACCACGAGCCAATGGGCACATTAAACGTTTTAATAGAACCATAACACCGATGTTGGCGAAACTCGCCGAATGTCCGAATAAATGGGACCAAATACTCGATCAGATGGAATTTTCCTTAAATAATACCATTTGCCGATCCATTAGGGATACGCCAAGTAGATTACTGTTCGGCACAAACCAATCAGGTGAACTAAACGACCATGTTCGTCTCATGTTAGAATCACAAAATGATAACGATCGAGATTTTGGTTCTATTCGAAATAACGCGGCGAAATGCATTGAAAAGCAACAACTGGAAAATAAAAATAGTTACGACGAGAAGCGAAAGGCGGCCTCCGCGTATAAGGAAGGCGATTACGTGATGATACGCAATTACGACACTACCGCGGGTGTAAACAAAAAGCTACTTCCGAAATATAAGGGCTCATATGTAGTTCAAAAGGTCCTCCGCTTTGATAGGTATATCGTATCTGACGTGGATGGTTTTCAGGTGACGCGTTTGCCATATACAGGCACCGTAAGCGCCGACCACATGAAACCTTGGATTGGCAATTAATGTAATAATACAATGACATTGTACCCTTTCGTTTACAATATTTTAGTTCTTATATTCTCATATTGCGTATCCTATTATTCTATTCTATTGTATTAGCGTTAAATATGTATATGTTAATTTTTTTATTTTTCCGCTGGCGGTTGTAACAACATTGTATGACCGGGACGGTCACACCATCAGGAGGACCGAGCTGTGGGGAATATGGTTGGATGCGTGCGTGCGTGCGTGTGTGTGTGTATCGGGAGCGTTGCGGGCCTATTTGGTCGGTGTCGAAAAACAAAGAGGTGACGGGGGCCAACCGTCACGACGCTGGCGTCCGATCGGGCATTCCAGTATCGCCAGCCTACAACCTCAGAAGTGGGATTCGGTTCCTGTGATCTATACGGTAATTCGATACAATTAAGAATGTAGATTGTACGAGATTAAGGCTCGAGATAGGATGCGAAGGAGCGTCTTCTTGGATTGTAACGAACAATTGACAGTTTATTGTCACAAACCGTACACAAATAAATAAATATAAGAAAGACGATAACGATTAAAACATAATAATTCGGAGCACCGAAAACAGAGATACAATTATTATACCCGGAGCGCCGGTGTTATAACAGTGTTTTAAGTAGGGAGCACCCTTAGCTAATTCGCAACGTTTCTCGAACAAAGTATCGTCACGAATAGACGGAGACAAAGGTTCGTCGCGGGTAATTAGACAGTTAATAGCAGAAAAAACTGTGCTGGCGGTCACGTAGGCACCTCGCACAGCAACGGTCCTTTTAGAGAAAGAGAGAGAGCGCGCACTGCCAGACAAATCCTGGCAGTGGCTAGAAAAGGATACCGTTGTCACTGTACGAGGTGGCCCACAGGTGTCGGCACTAGTGATGGTTAACCGAGCCTTGGTGTTCGAGCTTGTTTGAACGAGCTGATACTTCGAACTTGTTCGAGCTACTCGAACGAGCTCGGATGACAGATTTATGTTCTCAGGGGAGACCCGTGGCTCTGGCACTCGAAGCCTCGGCGCGTAGAGATGTTATCTGGCCGCCGGCAACCGACCCTCGGGTTAGAATGTAACACACGGAATGAATCATCCATGAATAAAAATTTAAACTTTTACTCCTACCAGTGTACTTTCTTAAAAATGTTATGAATAAGTCTAGGAGATTCTCTTGATGAAAATAAGTCCAAACCCGACATAAATCAGACTATATTTGATAACATAGAATTCGTATTAAGGGAAATGTGGAATAATTCATCAGTTTTGCCTTTTCGATGAAGTAATAATAACTGTTTCTTATATTTATATCCCATCATTTGCTTACAAATTCTTAATATTCTTGCAGTATTGTAACTTGCAAACATTCAAACTGCTTCATAGCAGCAGTTATTACTTTCGAACAAAACTCCAATTTAGCCATTCAATTTCCCGTATGTCTTGTCCGTTTGACTTCAATTGTGTACCTTTTTAATTTTTTCGACACCCTTGTACAATAAACGAAGATTCCAACATTTGGTCGGCAGGCGGTCCCGCTCGCGCAGTACCACCGAGGTGAAGAACAATATCGTCATAAACTTGTACTGTCGGGTTACTCCCGCAACCCGCAACATTGGCGCGGTCATAACATCCTTACATTTTTTTTCCAGTATTAAAAAGTAAGGTACAATATTGAAAAACGAAAGCTATGAAAGGAAATGAACGTATACATTATTGTAGGAAATTGAATGCGAAAAACGTGTTGAAACAGTTGTACTACCAATAAGACTTGCTGTTTGTGATGCGAGTTTATCGTGGGCCGCGTCGTTCATTGGGTTGAACCGACCGCCCTGGGATAGCTAGTTCTATCCTGAAAAGGATAAGGAGTGAAGGTGGTGTTACAACGAGAAAAAACACACCGGAGCTTGGCCGGAACAGTTTATTATCGAGAGTCGTAACAATGTCTCACAAAAACCCGATTACAGTCGGTGGGCACTAGAGAGCCGCGAAGTGGTAATCGATAGTGCCGTACACGATATGTCTAGGCGATCACGAAAATCGTTTACACGAATCGCCGATTTTCGTAACAATTGGACTCGAGCGACGAGAGCGATAAATATAACACGGGTAGTGTTGCGATAATTGACGCCCGAGTTGAAAAATGAGAGGTTTGTTACGATCACTAGAAAGGTTTACGACAGAATGCTCGACGAGCTGCGAAGTTTCTTACTGGTTTTCGTTCAAATTCGTTGGGATTGTTCAGAGACGCGCCGGATTGGTTCTAGAAATATTGATCACCGCAAAAACTATCGATAGATGATCAATATTTCGGACAGAATTGCGCAGATTCTGTAAATTGCTCGCGCACGCGCTCTAACGCACCACGGTCGCGAAATTCAGGGACGAAACAAGCAAATCGGCATTGGGCGCACGTAATCGTTGTCAAGGTCGCTGTATGGTGCGAGAACGCCCTGTCCTATTTGCTTTTGACGAACGCGTCTCTTACTTTTTCATTCCGAAACAGGGTCGAAAAAAAATAATACACATGTTTTTTAGTCTTGCTAAAGAATAACCAAAACGCACTACACTTCCAAAATTGAGAAAAAAATGTTTAGTTTTTTCATTTTTCGGCTTTTTTCATTCTTTATTCGAAAACTTTTTGTCAAAGGAAAAACAGTAATACAATATAAAAGTTGCGTCCTGTCTAGATCTACAAGTTTTGTCGCATACGGTTTCTGATATAATTAATAGTTTAGAAGATAATCGAAAGAAACCGATTTTATGAGTACTTAATTATTTTAATGTTTAAGGGCCTAAGGGCACGTTTTTCGGTTACCCTATGGAGCTCAAATTTGGCACAGATTATTTCTTTTATTAATTCGAAACGTCACGAACGAAGCTGCCGCGACTACGCACAAGAAAGAGCGACCGCAAGCGCAGTAGTCGGAACCGCGAAAGCGCCAACCACTGCGAGATGGCCACGCGCCGCAAGCCGTATCTCGCTCGCGAAATAGTCCGATAGCCACGATAAGACTCGGGAATCGCGGCAGTTCGAGAGAATCTCCTGAACCGCGAGTCCAGACAGGGTAAACCGACTTTTTTTTCAAGCCAGCTACCGTCCTGCCCCCCTTACCTTCCACCGAATCCTAGCACATGCCTGGCACATAGCCCGTACTCGGCGCAGGCTTCGGTCTGCAGACGCCATCGGCTCATGCTGCAGTCTGCAGAAGCCATCTGCTCCGCCGCCACCCGTCTGATACCGACTCCGCCGGGAATTTTCCGGCTACGCCGAGAACCGTCAGGGAGCCAGTCTTTGCACTTCTTCCGGAGGTATCCGTACACGCCACACAACCGAGCAGTCGCGCGACTAATCAGGTTGCCACACCAACAGCGCGGATCAATGGGACGCACAAATAGTTTGTAAAAGAAGTAATCGAATAAAGCCTATATATAACCGATGACTCCACTTGTCCGTTTATTTGAACGACCCTGACATGCCGACTGACCCGGCATCCCGATCCTCTCGACCTACCGGCGACGTTCGTTGCACACTGTTTAACACATAAAATATCTCATAACCGTTAATTGTCGATGTTGATAGATTTTTATGCGCTGAATACGAATCTGCAAACTGTTTTGTCTCGGCACGTCCAGTTTTTGAGAAAATCATTTTTTTTAAATTGCAAATTTTTAAATTTTGAAGCGTGTTTTGCTTTTAGTCATACTTATTCAGTTGCTTTTCGCACGAAATAATTCTCTGAAAATGATGTAAATGATTATTATATTATATAGTAACCTAAACTTGTTTCAATAATGATCAAAGTAAGGATATTCTTGAATGTATTTAAAAAATTAAGGGTCTAGGAGAAAAACTAAGCATAGTATGCTGTAGAAGCAGCTTTTCTGCTAAGGAATGTATGAAGAAAAGTTAAAAAATCTGTTTTGATTTCAATAGTGAAGCGATATACAATAGTTCAGCAAAATACGTGGGCAAGGCAATTGCCGTCATTGAGTACTACTGCCGCATCCGCGTTTTTTGCTGAACTATTTTGCTTCTCTATTGAAAATAAAACAGATTTTGTAATTTACCTTAATGCTTTCCTTAGCAGAAAGATCTGGGTTAGTTTTTGAAATAAATTGACGACCATCAGCAAAAATTGATGCGTTTTTGGTGTCCTTCCTACTTTCATCATTATTTAAACATATTTACGTGTCTACACTCTATACTTGTTTGATTCGATACCGGAATAATTCGCCACGTAACGAACCGAGTGCCGGGACCGTCCCGAGGGGGACGCGCAATGAGAACTTTGAGGCACGTTTTGACTGCGGACGCGCGGGTCGTAAATCCGGCGTCTTACGGATACAAAGAGAGACAGGAAACTGACAAAGGCGCAGACAAAATTACTGAGGAATTTCAAGGGGTGCTCAGTTCCGGAGGAGATCACGCAGTAAAGATTGGCTTTCATTATCGCAGTTCCATTTGAGTGGAAGGATAGATTGGAAAGGATTTGGAAATATACACAGACATTCCCAGCACCGTAACGATTCGCGAGAAACGACGGGTTTTCTCGGGATGACTCTCGGCAGTTCATAACGACGGGTTTCGGTGCCTTGTTCGCGAGAGCGCGGAAAACGATGGGTTTTCGTGGGACGACTCTCGGTGGTTGAGAACGACGGGCAAGAAACGGCCCTAACGGCTCACGGGTTGATCGCGATCGAAGAGAACTAAGCGAACTGAGCTGATTTAGCGTGATCGAAATGAACTTGACGCGAAAGATACTGTTTTTCGATCGATTTTCATGGTCACGGTGACAGGTGGAACGCGGACGCCCCCGTCCTCCCCCGCCGCGACAAAAACAGACACGTCCTTCGCACGACGAGCCGGAAAGTTTCGTTAGGTAACGTACAAGTTCAAACAATACTGTTACATTCGGTAATGTCAGAACTTCTTTCCGTTGCACATTTCTCCTCATCACCTTCACTCGCAGAGGAATGAACGAGAACCGTCAATTCAGCGACACGTGGAAGAGAA